AACAAAGGTGTAAGCATCATATGTCTTAATTTTAAAGCATATTACACAGCTATTGTAATCAAAACAGTATGGCACTAACATTAAAACAAGTACACAGACTAATGGAAAAGTGTAAAGAGCCAAGAATTAAACCCACATACATATGGTCAAATAATCTTTTAAAAGGGTGCCAAGAATACATAATGGGGACAGGAAAGTCTCTCCAATAATGGTATTGGGAAAACTGGATATCCACAGGCAAAAGAATGAAACTGGATCATACTTTCCACAATTCACAAAAAGAATTTGAAGGAGATAAAAGATTTAAATGATAGAATTGAAACTGTGAGACTCTAAGAAAAAAAAATAAGAGTAGAAAAACTCTTTGACACTAGTTCTAGCAATACTGTTTTTCAGATATGACACCACAAGCACAGACAACAAAAGCAAAACTAAGTAAGTAGAGTTACATCAAACTAAAAAAACTCTGCACAGCCAAGGAAACCATGGACAAAATGAAGAGGCAATGTATGGAACTGAAGAAAATATTTGTAAGTCATATGTCTGATGAGTGTTTAATATCAAATATGTAAGGAACTCATATAACTTAATAGCATGAAAATATATATAAGCCAAAAAAATGAATAAAGAACCTGAACAGACATCTTTCCAAAGTGGACATACAAATAACCTCAAGTAACCTGCAGGTATGTGAAAAGATGCTCAAAATCACTCACAGTCAAGGAAATGAAAATCAAAACCCAAGGAGATATCACCTCAAATGTGTTATGATGGCTATTATCAAAAGGACAATAGATACAAAGTGTCTGTGAGGCTGACTGTGGGGAAGAGGGAACCCTTGAACATTACTGGTGAGAATGTAAATTGATGTAGCCAGTATGGAAAAGAGTATATAGGTTCTTCCAAAAAATAACATAATAGTAATACCATTTGATCCCATAATCCCACTTCTAGGTATGTATCTAAAGGTAATAAATACACAGTAGAATATTATTCAGCCATAAAAAGAAAGAAATCCTGACATTTATGATAATATAAAGAAACCCAAGGGACATTTTGTTAAGTGATGTAAACCATGCACAGAGGGAAAAATGCTGCATGATCTCACTTACATCTGCTATCTGAAAACGTAGGACTCACAGAATCAGAGAGTAAAATGGTGGTTGCTGGGGGGCTGGTGATTGGGTTGGTCAAATTATACAACCTTCCATTGTTACAAGTGTGAGTTCATGGGATCTATAGTACAGCACAATAACTGTAGTTAATAATACTGTATTGTATACCTTAATATTGCTAAGAGATTATATTGTAAGTGTTCTCACAATATATACACACATTAACTGTATGAGGTGATAGAGGGGTTAACTTGATTGTGGTAATCCTTTAATGATGTATGTATATTAAATTGTCAGACTGTACACCTTAAAAATCATTTTGTACAATTTAAATACATATAAATCTGTCAATTATAACTCACAAGGCTGAAAAAAAAAGTTAAAGCTAAGTACTGACTCCTGTACACTTTAAAAAAATTCTTTTTGCCCTGGCTGGCGTAGCTCAGTGGATTGAGCGTGGGCTGCAAACCAAAGCATTGCAGGTTTGATTCCCAGTCTGGGCACATGCCTGGATTGCAGGTTAGGTCCCCAGTGGGGGCCATGTGAGAGGCAACAACACATTGATTCTCTCTCTCTTTCTCCCTCCCTTCCCCTCTCTAAAAATAAATAAATAAAAAATCTTTAAAAAAAGAAAAAAAACTTTTCTTTTTTTAAAGATTTTTTAAAAACTTTAAAAATTTTTAAACTTTTTTTAAAGATTTTATTTATTTATTTTCAGAGAGGGAAGGGAGGGAGAAAGAGAGAGATAGAGAAACATCAATGTGTGGTTGCTAGGGTTCATGGCCTGCAACCCAGGCATGTACCCTGACTGGGAATCGAACCTGCGACACTTTGGTTTGCAGCCCATGCTCAATCCACTGAGCCACGCCAGCCAGGGCTAGAAAAAAACTTCTTTTAAACTCCTGACTTCAGGATAGTCTTTTCATTGCTTTTGAGAGAGAGAGAGAGAGAGAGAGAGACATCAATGTGAGAGAGAAACATTGATTAGTTGCCTTCTCATAAGTGCCCCAACTGACCAGGGATCAAAACCACAAGTGAGGTATCTTTCCAGACTGGAAATCCAACCCACGACCATGTGGTCTATGGGCCAATGCTCCAACCAACTGAGCCACACTGGCCAATATACTCCTGTGAATATTTAATGGAGTTATTTCTCTTAATATCTTTAGAGTTAGAAAGTTCTTTGGAATTACATGATTTCCCCTAACTTTTCTTAATGTAAAATCTTACATTTGTACTGTTATCCACACATTTTGAATCTAAGACACTCTATCTGTAACCTCAACTACATCCTAACATAACACATATTGATCATTTGTGCCACAACTCTTGTTCCTGTGGACCTATATACAGGGTCCAGCACAAATAATGCCTCTTTTTTATTACAAAATCTTTTATTACAGAATCATAAGCATGTAATTCTATAACATACCAATATCACACTCAAGCACACTATATGACATTTTAGGTGAAATTGTAACAGGGTGCAGCCAAGAGAGGGGCCCCAAATAGGGGTTTGTAATAGGGTCCAGAAGAGCTTGGGGATAATTGGCTCCACACCACAGGGCCACACCTGCCCAGAATGCTGGCAGCTGTGGCCAATTGCAAGAGGAGCCAGAAATGGGGCTGCAGAGGAAGATTAGCACTGGGATTTAAACAGAGGCACAGCAGCCATTGGACATCTCTCTTTTTGGGACCATGCATCTGTTTAGGACCACGCGGCTTTGGTGTCTTGGTTTGGACCATGAGGCTTGGGTGAGAGTCAGGACCATGAGGCTTTGGAAGTGTTCCCTTTTGCCACGTGGAGGGTGCTGAGAGGACTGTGTGCATTTGTGGGGAACTTTAGTTTGTGTTATTTCAAATGAATAATAAATTCTTTTCCTTTTCACGTATCTCAGGCATTGAGAGATGTCTTTCCTCTGGCAGCGGACATAATGAACCTCGGGGGTTTCTTTCAGGTAATAGTATATTACCTCGGCTGCCCTTGCCCCCCCCTTTTGTACTGTAACAAAATGTTCAAATTAAAACTATAAATTATTACATGCATATTATTACCCTGTCAACCACACTCAAGCAGGCCATACTTCTGCTGGACCCTGTATATGCATGCTAACTATATATTTATATATGCCTTTTACAACCTTATTTTTACCAAGTTAAGCCAGGTTTAAATTAAATTTACATGTTTATGATAAACAGTTTCTGTATGGTCTGATCATTCAAAAGTTAATATAGAACTTGAGATAAAAGAATAGACTGTCTTCATTTAATATTTAATAAAATATTGATAATTTTTACTCCTCTAAAATATCATGAGACCAAAAGATGTGAATGATAAATGTGGTTTTAAGAGATGAAAACCTATTCTTTTTTTGTCTTTTTCCTTTTTTCTTTATTGGTTCAGAGAGAGAGAGAGAGAGAGGGGTGGGGGGAGAAGGAGAGAAACACAGATTTGTTGTTCCACTTATGAATTTATTGGCTGAGTCCTGTATGTGTCCCTACAAGGGGTGAATACACAGCCTCGTCTATGATGATGCTCCAGCAAACTGAGTATCCAGCCAGGGTGAGAAGTTATTCTTATTAGGGACACATTACATTATCCAAAGTGGTGGCTGTGTTTTAATAGTACTTAGTTATATTAATTGCACTTAAGGGCACTTAAAATAATGAGTATTGAGACTTGAAAATCTCTTTTGATTTTTAAAATAAATTACTATTAATTTATGCAGATTGACATACCAAATATTTTGTGGCATACTACTTGTGCAGGAATTATATTCCTGATAAACTTAGATGAGTAAATGGGTAAATTGAACACAAGGAAGCTAGAGGGTCACTTGTTGGTATTTGGGGGGGCAATGGTCCAAATGGTTGTCTCCCCCCAAATTCATATGTTGTAGCTCTAATCCTCATAATAATATTTGAAGGCAAGACCTTTGCAAGGTGATTGTGGTTAGAGTAGATCTTGAAATTGACCTCATGATAAGACTAATGTCTTTTTAAGAAACAAGAGGAGACACTAGATCTTTCTCACCACTGTGGAGGGGTACAGTGAGATGGGGGACAAAAGGGCAGCCCTCACCACAACCTGATCCTGCTATAACCCAAATCTTGGGCTTCCAGTCTCTAGAAGTGAAAAATGAATTTCTGTTGTTTAAGCCACCTGGTCTATGGTGCTTTGTTATGGCAGTGTGAGCTAAGACAAAGAGTTTTATTTACAGAGACGGATAGTCAAATTGGTACACAGCTAGTGATACATGGGTTTTCATGAGCAACAGAAATGTTTACATGAGAACAAAGTCTTACATGTGTGGCATATGTATAACAGGTAGCAAAGGCAGGGAGGCAGGCAGCGTCAGGGTGATGAATAGGTAGTGAAGCCACACCTCATGACCTGATTTTTTAGACACTGCTCCACCTAACACACAAGTCCAAGTTTATCCACAATGGACAGAGTTCTTAAGTTCTACTTTCTTAGAATTTATTACATTGTTGTTTTGAAAGATCAGTATTTCAGATGTGGATCATAATTAAGCAGATATGCATTACACATGGAGAGTAAAGAAACTAGAAATAAATTTCCATCATTTCACAGAAAAAGAATTAGTGACACTTCTCTCAGGAAGGCAAAATTTATAGCGACACATTAGGTTCACACACAACAAAAAGGGAAAACCGGAGGACTGAGAAACTTCCTCTTACTCTAGAGTTTTACCTAATTCCAAACGTAGCATCACAACACACTTGCACTGTGTTGTGACAGTGATTCTCACACAAGCCATCACAGCACAGTTCCAGCTGTTGGGAGTAAAACCTATTATCCACAGCTTTAGATACTGGAAAGGGAAGAAGCTATTGCAGAAGATGGCCCGCTGTTGTTGAGACATGTTGGCAACACTGCCTTGGAGCCTCAGTCCTGGGCTCTGCACTGGAAATGCTATTCCTTTGGGAACCACAGCCAAGGAAGAGATGGGGAGATTCTCAAATAAGAACCTTGGTTCAAACCATCCTGTGTCTCCTCATATCACTATCTACAGGTGGTCTCTTCACATGGCGATGTCTAGTTGCCACCACGGCACTGGTAGAGCCATGAGTGCAGGAGTCTCTCTTTTTGGCTTGTGGACCCTGGTACTGCCTGGGAACTTTGAGTCTCATTTGGAGCTGGTGAAGTCGCTGTGTCTGGGGCGGGCGCTGATCCACATGGCCAAGTTTGCTCTTGCCTTTCTTGTTGCCTACTACACCTGTAATGGGTCCAGCACCTGACATAGGACCTCAGGAAAGGCCTGAAGATCCTGCAGCTCTGCCAGTCGGGTGTGGTGGTCCTGGATCTCACTGTACTGTCCTCTATGGGGCTGGTGGTCATGTTAGCAGCTCCAGTCCCCACTCTGGCCTCTCACAGATGATTAGTGGTCCTGATTTCCTTTTGTCACCCGCCCTCCAGGCAGGGCAGAGTCTCTTGACGTGTCTGATGCTTTTGTGCTTGCAGTTGCCCTTGAAGCTCAGCAGTAGAGTCCCTTAGAGAAGCACAGCCCTGGAGCAGGGCCAAGAGTCCCTTGTTTCTAAAGATGAAATAACCCAGAGATTCCCTTCTCCCACCCCCACGTACAGACTGCTTGGGGCTCTGAGGCACTCATTCTCTCCACCCTGGGCCTTGGTTTGTGTTGAGGGTCAGCTCTTGGATCCTTCTTCCTGAGACAGTGGAAACAAAGCCAACTTTGTGACTCCTGCCCTGGGGACTGGGGGTGGGGCTCTGGGTGCTGCTATGTTCTGCTCTCTGTTGGAGCCCAGGATCTCCTGCACCCATACAGTGGGGATCAGGGAGGTGGCCTGTCTCAGCTGCAGGGAGCAAGGAGGGTGAGCTGGCTCTCGAAGTAGGTGCTTTGGGAGAAGATACATAGATTTTGATGTAAGAGAAAGAGACAGAAAATTATTGTTGAACCTGTTAAGGGTTATTTTTTCTTCTTTGCAATTTCAGAAAAAAAAAATAAGCCTCTTATTGTCATGTTTTCTAATCCAAATCCATGTGATATCTTTTACTGAAAATAATTAAAATATTTATTTCATCTTTGAAAAAAAAGGAAAAGAAAAAGAAGCTATTTCAGATATGACAAAAGAGAATGAGATAAAGGAGATAGAAGTGTATGCCAAGCAGGACTTTAACAAGACTACTCCAAATGTATATTATAATAATATAGAATATAGAATATATATTCCTAGAAATGTCAGATGTATCTATCAATCGTTTATCAATTTATATAAGAGTTCATGCAGCAAAAATCTCTTGCTGTTAGAAATAAGTTTAAAACCCAACATTCTCCTAGAATTGTCATCTTGGGGCACTTAGGGTAAGACTGCCTCTAATGCTTAAAAGATAATATAGCTCACGTTACCAAAAGTGTAGTGAGCCAACATAAAACATGAAGCATACTAATCTTTTAGTGAACATTTGTAATGATAACTTTCTAATAACCAAACTGGATGATTTCATAAGAATTTCACTAGTAAACAATACTTTGAAAAAGAACTACAAAAATGATACCTGATCCCCACAATGTTGTGAAACATGCAATACTTTACTCCATCTAAATGAGGTGATTGCCTTTGAAGGACTTCTGTGGCAATACAATATTGGTGAAGGGGAAGCCTGTTGTTTTACAAACTCAGAAACCACTCTGTGCAACCTGGACAGGAACAGCTTTGTGCCTAAATAGAGGAGACACAACAATGATGCTATCAGTGGAGAAATAAATGACACCCTGACTCCCAGAGCCTAGACATGCTGCGGTGAGGACCATGTGGGAAATGTGTCTTTGTCAGAGTTAAAAACATGCTAAAATTTTAAAAGATGATCTTAGAGATTTGCAAGAAAAACTAGAGAAGCTGATTCAGGAGAAAATTTCCTATTCAGAAATAAGTCAGAAAATCATTGGGGAGAAGGAGCAGAATATGAAAACATAAAGGAGATGGAAAGACAAAGAAACAGTTATTGCATTTAAGTGCCTTTATGTAACATTTTATTTTCCTCCCTTTTAGAACAAAAGAAAGGAATATAAAAACAACAAAACTTACAATTTATTTTACAATGGTCACTCAGTGTATCATAAGATTTCTACTACTTCTTAAAAATACTCCCTAGAAATTCATTATCTTTAATTTCCATGGTTATTATAATTTAAAAGGTGCTTAAAATTTAACGAATAGAATTCAGAAGTGCCTATTTTATATTAAAATATAAACCACCTGATATATTTAAAAATATTTTAAAACAAATTTGAAATCCCACTGGGGGGAGATAGACAGTACTGCAGATCTGAACACGAGAGGGAGTGGGGCTGATGGAAAGCATGCCAGGATGTCTATGAGGAAATCAATGCAAATAAAACTTGTATCTGTATTCTAAATTTCAGAGAACAAGAATAGAAAGAGAAGAGTCCAGAAAAGAAAATCACTTTATTGGAAAATGAAATGTCAAAGGCTAATTATAGATGAACTCTGTTAGGAGCTAAATTATACACCCTGCCCCAACTTCATATGTCAAAGATCTAACTCCCATACCTCAGAAGGTGAATGTATTTGGAGATAAGGTCTTTAAAGAAATGAAGTCAAATAATAACATGGGGGTAGGCCCTAATCCATTGTGACTGATTTTTCTTACAAAATGAGGAGATTAGAACAAAACTGTGTGCAGAGGGGACGCAGATGTGAAGACACAGGAAGGAGACGGCCATCTGCACAGGAAGATAAAGGCCTCGGTACAAAGCCGACCCTACTCACACCTTGATCTTGGACTTTTAATCTCCAAATTCTGAGAAAATAAATGTTTATTGTTCAAGCCACCCAGTCCACAGTATTTTGTTGTATCAGACCTAGAAAACTAATACAAAATTCTGTATGTTTCTCATCTTTCTGTCCTGATTATGAAACTGGAAAATTACAGAGAGATGTTTTCTCTTACACAAAGAGGATGCAAAGAAGCATAAGTTAGAGGAGCTAAAGCCATATGTAATACTTATCAAGATTTAGTCAATGACAAGCTGAGTTTGACATGGCAACTCAACTCCAAGCAGCCAAGGTGCAGTGTGGTGCCCAAAGGAATTTAGGTAGCACAAATGTTCAGGGAACATTTTAAAGTTTTTCCTTAATGCTGGCTGAGTACTTAAACAAGTGTGGTGGAATCAAGAAATCACTAATATTTGAAATTTACTAATTGGTACTTAATCCTGTTTTTTAAATGTGTGCTATTTTAAGAAAATATAAAGAAATTGAATATCTGTTAAATATTATTTAATAGTTATTCTATTTTCAGGAAAAAAGTAGCTAGTTGTGCCTATTGCACATGAAATATATAGAGAAATACATTTACAATATAATAGAAAATGCCTGTTAAACTGTTAACATAAATTAATGCAGAATCAATCTCTAAGTTCACTTGTTATAATGATGTTTCTGTTTTCTTAAAACCCTTAGAATTAAGAAAAACAAAATGTATATTTTAACTGGCAAGATCTAAGTACCTCAAACTTCTAATTTCTAAGGATAAGTGATTAGACATTTCCAAATTCTCATGAAGACAGGGCAAGGACATAGAAAATACCTATCCAAAGCAATCTTCATGGAATTTATGTCTCTCAGTTGCTACAGTTACTTCAAATGGACACCAGCTGCCTGCATTTCAGAATTTCAGAAGATGGGCCCTCTCCTTAGGAAGGAATTTCAGATGCAAGGAAGGCAAAATAGTAAATGACAGTTCAAGTTTGAGTGAAGGCCAAAGTTGTGATTGAAATGCAAATCTTTATCTTTTTAGTTTTCCTTCCATTAAGTTACATTTGCGCTTAACCTGCTGTTGAAGAGAATCTTTAAAGCATTTCCTGTCTTTTGAGACCTAGATTCTTGGATTCAGGATGACTGAGGAAGGCATCATTCACAGTATCCATCACATTACAGGCACTCACAGAATGTTTATGTAATTAATGAAGCACATTATTACAGAAAGCCTGGTGTGGCCTTGAAAGAGGATTTTCCCTAAATGGAATTTTTGGCTACAGTGTTTCTCATTAACTAGAAGGAATCCTATCTATTAGCACAGACTTTTGACAATTTTGAGATGTTCTTTAATGGTGTCAGAATTATGAAGGTTTTATAAATAACAGGTATGCCCTGGTAGCCCCATCTGCCGTAAAGCCATAACTTACTCCCTCTCGTTCCCTTATCCTGATCTATTTCATCTTATAACCACTTGACAGGTATGTGTTAGCTTGTTGATAGACTTTCTCTTATTCCAACAGTGTCCCACAAAATGAGGGATACTGCTGGGCTTTCTTGAGACAATTTTCTAGCATCTAGAAAGAACAGTGGGACCTGGAAGTTGTGTTCAGTGGGGCTCAGTTGTTTGGAGTTTTTCCCTGTAACTGGAAGGTTCTGGGTTTGATTCCTGGTGGGGCACAAATAGAATGCAGGTTCATACCCACTTTGAACTGGTGCGTATAGGAGGCAACCAATTGATGTTTCTCTCTCATATTGATGTTTCTCTCTTTCCTTTTGTCTCTTTTTAAAAGCAATGAAAGAAAGTCCTCAAGTGAGGATAAAAATTTTTTAAATAATATTTATCAGATGAGAAAATGATGTAATGTGGGAGTAACAATTATAACCAGAAGAATCTACGTTAATTAGTGCATGTCAAAAGTCTTTTTATCTGAAGGCAAAGCAAGAGAATGTTCAGGAGTTATCAGAGCTTTGACATAGTTCGTTGGAATAATTCCAAAATCAATCTGAAACAAGGGGTGGATATTTTTTATTTGAATATAGATTCCTCCAAACTGAAGAGGAAAAGTCATATCAGAGAAGCTAACATAATCTGTTAAAACACACTACTTTGATTATAAATTTATAAATGGATAATTAATCACATACACCACCATATGCTGTTCAGTTGATTATCTTTTAATATTCACTGAATATACTTAAAGAATGTAGGTAATATTTTAATCGACTAATCATCATAATTTCCTTGGGAAATGACTAGCTGAGTTTTGGGAAATATTTACTTTTGAAAGGAATTTTTTTTAATTGGTTATCAGTTTTTTTTTTCTAAAGATTTTATTTATTTATTTTTAGAGAGGGAAGGGAGGGAGGGAGATAGAGAGAGAGAGAAAGAGAGAGAGAGAGAGAGAGAGAGAGAGAGAGAGACACATCAATGTGCGGTTGCTGGGGGTTATGGCCTGCAACCCAGGAATGTACCCTGGCTGGGAATCGAACCTGGGACACTTTGGTTCCCAACCCATGCTCAATCCACTGAGCTATGCCAGCCAGGGCGGTTATCAGTTTTTATTAGAACTAGATGCTTTCCTCCTCCAAATCAAAGCAAACTAATTTTACTATGTTTTCTTTTAAAAAAATTTTTAAA